CTGGCTATTTTTAAAAGTAGGGTTAGGCAAACATCATTCACGAGCAGTTATAATATAGGTGCTACTTTGGAATATAGGCACTAGGGGATTTATGAATGTCTATTTAATCCCATTTTTTTTCTTCCATTTTCTATACTTCAATATTGATCTTATTAATACTGCACTGTGTTTTATGAGCGAGGGTGCTGGTATGTTTTAGGTCTATGCAAAGTCTTAGATACTATCTCTGAGGCCACCTCAGTGGCCTGGAAATCATGTGGCCCTCTGAGAAGTAGCAGCCTTTGTGGTTTTTGTGATGGAGATACTTTCTTGGTTAAATGACAGAGTGGCCGGGAAGCACATAATGTTGAAGTTTCTACTTAGAGAAAGACAAGATCAAATGAGTACATATATGCAAAGATAGGAAACAGAAGGAGCCTAGAAAAAAAGTCTGGAAAGATGAAAAGTTAATGATTATTTATGAAGGGTTGTAGAAGAAAAAAGAAGAAAGCAAACCAACATATGTACAAATGTAAAATATATTCATGTGAAGAGAAGGAGCTGGAAACTTTAAAGCAAGATTAAAATTACAACTTAATTGACATAACAGAAACTTGATAGGGTACAGTCATGTGAATATGTGACTAGAATACTAATACCAAAGAGCACATCTTGTTCAGGAAGAACAGGAGGGAAAAGGGTGAAGGAGATTATGCCATGCATCTCTCTCACATGCTCAGAATGGTCAGGAAACACGTACTGAAAGTATGATGAATAATACAAAGAAGAATATAGGCATTGTTAAGTGATCTGCAGCAGATCTAGAAATCTCAAGTGGATAACTCTTTCATAGCAATTAACAGGATTGTTTGAAGCACATGATTTGGCCATAAAGGGAGATTTTGATCATGCAGCTCTTGGAAAAGAGCTGAACTAGGCAGAGACACCTTGGGTAATTCTCTCCAGAATAAGTGTTCAAGGAATCCCTCAAATTTATGAGCCTATCTTTCTAAGCAATCCTGCTCAACTAAGTAATTTCTTCCTTTTCTAGTCGTGGCTTAGCACTGGTGGCACTCTGATGAGTCTTCATTGGTTCTCTCTTCTCAGCAATGGTGGCACACCAAGATATGCTGTCTTCTACCATGGGATAGCATTCCTCTTCTTAAGCCCCCAACAGTCTCTCTCTTCCATTCACTGCAGTCTTTAGAAAGGAACTTGGATATTAGAGACTGCTTAATCTCTCTCAAATAGAACATACTCTTTATGCCCATTCTGTATGAAACCAAAAGAAACATATTCAAGTCCACTAAAAAATTGATTTGTGCATTATATAATGACAGGTCACAGACCAAGGCGTCTTCTTCCTAAGATACTTTCCACTTAGAATTAATCATAGAATTGCTCAGATTGGAAAAGACCTTAAAGATCATCAAGTCCAATCATGACCTAACCATACTACCCTAACTAACAACCCTTCACCAAATCACATCCCTGAGCACCACATGTGTTAAAAACACCTGAATGTTTTTTGAACACATCCAGGGATGGCGACTCAACCACCTCCCTGGGGACCCTATTCCAGTGCTTAACAACCCTTTCTGTAAAGAAGCATTTCCTGATATCATACCTAAATTTACCTTGGCACAACTTAAGGCCATTTCCCCTCGTCCTGTCACTTGTCAGTAGAGGCCAACCCCACTCTCACTGTAAGCACCTTTCAGATACTGGAAGAGAGCAATAAGGTCTCCCCTCAGCCTCCTTTTCCCCAGACTGAACAGCCCAAGTTCCTTCAGTCTCTCCTCATAGGGCACATTCTCCAAGCCCTTCACAAGCCTTGCTGCCCTTCTTTGGACCTGCTCCAGTACGTCAATGTCCTTTCTGTCCTGAGGTGCCCAAAACTGAACACAGTACTTGAGGTGAGACCTCACCAATGCTGAGTACAGGGGCAGGATGACTTCCCTAGTCCTGCTCACCACACCATTCCTGATAAAAGCCAGGATGCCATTGGCCTTCTTGGCCACCCAGGCACACTGCTGGCTCATATTCAGACCACTGTCCATCAGTACACCAAGGTCCCTTTCCATCAGGCAGCTTTCCAGCCACTCCTCCCCAAGACTGTAGGGCTGCCTGGGGTTTTTGCGACCAGAATGCAGGATTGGACACTTAGCCCTATTGAAACTCATACAGTTAAGCTCAGCCCATCCATCCAGTCTATCCAGGTCCATCTGCAGTGCCTTTCTCTCCTTAGGCAGATCAATACTCCCTCCCAACTTGGAGTTGTCTGCAAACTCACTGAGGGTGTGCTCAATCCCATATTTCTCCCCCTGACTTCTTTCCTTCTTAAATTCTACCTTAGCCATCTTTAGGAAGGGCTCAAGCATGGGACACAACGTGTTAGTCTTTTTACAGCTATCAATAACATATGAAGGAAAAAAACATTTTTAGAACATGGGAATAAGGAGAGGAAGATGATGCATCCCTAGTAACCTGCTGCCATGGCTGAGAGAGTTCATATCTCACATTTCTTTCACATGCCTCATTTCCCTCAGAAATTCCTCTGAATTGCAAGGTGTTAGATGATACACTAACTCCCAAAGGAATTTGTTCTTTTCCTTAAGACCTTAACAAGTAAGCCTGAGGAAGCTGAAGAACTCCATGATCAAACACATCCTTAGTTAAATCTGTAGCAGCTTTCTTTGTTGGGCCACAATAATGATGAAAAACTGGAAGAGGCACAGTCTGCTGTAATCGTGAAAATAGAAGGAGAAGAAAGAAGAAGGTGGACAACCTCCGTAAAAGTGTAGCGTAAAGTAGATTTTTTTATATATCCCACCCTAGAAACTAACACTTGCAGGTTAGTTTCTAAGTTATACTGGGTATATTACCGTTAGGAAAATTTAAAGACAAACTTACCCAAGCTGAAACATGTGGAACAGCTGGATAGTGACTGGAAGCAGACATCCAGTGGTTGCCTTTATACAAATCAGTGTCCTCAGCTAAATTTTTAGTCTTGTTATAGACGCAGAGAATGGTTGTGAACATCCTTTGTGCACCATCTGTGGATCAGAGTCCCATACAATTCCCCTCTTCACTTGGATCTGTACAATATTTTCTGTGAATCTGCAGCCTGCCTTTGTGAAAGGTCTGAAGATGATGTAGGCTGGTGATCAGCTGAAGTTTAGGGGTGTCTGTAATGACCCAGGCGGAATGCAGAGGGCACTATGTCTCAGAGAAGCATGGAGATAGGCGGGAGCACAATGTCCTGAGCAAGACCACACCAGCGCAAGGACATAAATTGCTGATACGACTGTAGGATTAATTTATCCGACTCAAAAAGGTAGCATGGTGCACAGCTTATACTGCTGGGGCTTGACTTAATCTGACTGAGTGCTGTTGTAAGTAAGATGACACTGCTCCTGCATTTCAGGAGCAAGGGAACAATCCGCAGCTTCCACAGACTTAACTAGACATTATTCTGTCCGACTTCCCAGCCTTGATCTGACGATAGGCTGGTAGGATATCTTTTCCAATGTTAGAAATTCAACTGTTTCTGACAAATAACTTCCCTCTAACTATCCCCTATGCCCTTTCCAGAGCTCCCAATCTCCTTTCCATTACTTTTCCTCTCTAATTCAAAATGCTGAATTAAAAAAAGAAAAAATTACTTTGTTTCTGTTAGCTTCTTATTTGCTGGATAGTGCAAAGGCCTTTACATGGGAGGAAGGTTCCTCTCTTAAAACATTTGTTGCAGCTCAAGTGCAGTTTTAAAAACTCAGTTTGGTAGTGGTTAAAAAAAAAAACAACAGTTGTGATCTGAGCCCAGTTATTTTAGTGGATTCCAAGGCAGTTTGGGCTGACTTCAGACATTTTCCTGAAAGGGAGAACACAAGGGCATCTGGGCAGAGGGTCAGCACTATGGATTTGCTAATAGTCTGCTATTTCAAAGTGGAGAATAGTTCAAATAGGCACATACAGATCCTTAGGTGTCCATACATAGTTATCTTCAGGATTTAGGTTAGGGGTATACTGAAGAAAGAAGGAAATTTACACAGTAGGTAAGGTAGGGAATGCTTTCTGATACAGTGATATGATGGTACTTAACAGTAGGTAAATTAGATATGACTATCTGTATATGATTGGTTGTAGTTTTTTTTTTTTTTAAATCAGGCTACTTGTGTGGTTTGTAAGTTTTCAGATCACATTCTGCTCTATAAAATATTTATTGGCCAGTATATTAAAATTTGTAGAAAAGGAGTGAAGTTCCAGAACTTTAATTTCTCTTGGTTTAACCCAAGAACATTTGGAGCTATCCAATGTGACTAAGTTTTTAGAAAACCTCTCAACTTACTTCAAAATATTTATCCATAGATTCTATTGATCGGAAAGATCGCTGATAAAGTGGAAATTTTATACTATTGCAAAATTATAGAAATAATCTCTTTATGGATTAGATAGTACACATAAACAGCATTGAATAAGCTCAACAAGTACCATACATGCAGGACGAAATCATCAGGAAAAGAGTTTCAAATTTCCATTAACTTGTGGTACTGATCTACAGCGTACCACCAACCTTGATTTTCAGCAGATGTGACTTTAAATTACATTAAAAAATAACAACATATGAGTATTATGAGAGAAATTAGGGCTCAGTGTCTGGTTTCTGTTTTGCAACATTTACATTAATCTTAAGAGGTGTCAATTGGATTACCAGCTGCCACTAGCTTGCTTTTCTTCCTGGAGCAGTAGGCTTCCTGACCAGTAACATGCACAGCAGTGGTAAATCCCCTGACATCTGAGCACAGACACATTGTCAGAAGTGTGGTTTGTACTGTTGCTGTGGTTGCTGTTTTTAGGTATGAAGAGCATCGCTATCTAGAACTAAAAAGTTGATCTGGAATTCCCAGGCATCAAAAAAGAAGGGTGAGAAACCAAATTTCCAAGTGACTAATTTTTATTTTTATTTTTTTATGACCAGATTGTAAGCAAAGCATTAGTCTTCTTCCTAATAAACTATTTGATTTCAAATCCAGGAAATTTTAAAACAGAAAGCTGAAAGGTTTGCTGTGCTTCCTTACCTGAAAGGTAACTTTCTTTTATTTTCACCAATGGTGACTACTTTAGTCTTCATTGTGCTCACCTACAGGTGAGTGGCACTAATTCCCTCTCAAATCTGAACATGCAGAAAAAAAATCTTTGTCTTAAAACTGGCACAATCAACATATCCATAAATCTAACTTCCAAAACATTGCTGTTGCTGTTATGCCCCCAAATTTACCCACCCCTGATATTTGCAAGCATTTTTTTTTTTTTTTTAATGTATCTCCTTCATTTTTGCAGGTGAATTCTTTAATGTGGTTCCTGCTGTTTAGGCCAGTTAAAGAGAGAAACCAAAGTCAGTAATTTTCTACACCATAAAGAAGGTTGAAGCAAACCTTGAAGAAAACAAACCAGTTGCAATTCTGCACTGCAAGATTAAAAACTGACTCAGAAAAGTGAATGTACCTGTGAAACTGCAAGAAACTGCAAGAAAAGTTTAATCCTTGTTTGTTCTGTTGAATGCCTTACATGCTAGCAAGTAAGGAGGGCCAGAAAAAACATGTCTTCCATGTCAAGCTTTCCCCCCTCCCCAAATATTTTAAATATAGCTTTACTAAGATAAACACAAGTGTTTTCCTCAGCAAATTCTTCAAAAAAGTTTTTTCTTTTCATTAACTGAAATTGTAGTGGGTTTCATTAACCCCAATGTAGTGGAAAAAGTTGTACTAACAGCTGGAAGAATAAAGAGAATAAAGGACAAATTCTCTCACAAACACACAAAAGTGCCACGAAATCTCAACAAATCTAAGATCTCAATGTTAATGTCTTTTGGTCTGCAAATCTCAGTGCTATTCTGTCCAAAATGCAAGTCAAAACAATTGCTTTTCACAGAAGAGGAAGGGCATTGTTGGGGTCACAAAATTCCATTTCCTTAGCATCTTAGACAAAAACATCCCTAATCACTCTTCCATCATATACTTGTAAAACAATCCGCAAAGTTAAAGCAGATATAGAAATATAGAATCAATGACAACATTTCTACAGTAAGAGGTTGGTAACAGGTTGGTAAAAGAAAAGTAGTGATTTGTATCAGTTTTTTTTCTGCACAAACTATTTGAAGTTGTAAAGGCAGAACAATTATAACTTTTTAAAAGACGTAGTTGAAATTGCTGTAAGTTGTTCAAACGTTAAAGATGTTAATGATGTGTCAGGTAGGGAAGAGTGTTGAAAACAGTCAAAAGGTACCACAGATATGTAATGGGCAAAATCTTAGTTAAACTGAGGTCAGTGGGAGCTCACCATTCACCATAATGCATTATTCCTGCCATAATTTATGATGGAAAATATAATCTGTGTTAACAGTGTAGGGATGCTTCAATCATTCTTAACGTCTGGATTTTCATTACATAAAATTGCAATCTTCATGAACAGACAAAGATATTAAGTGACACATAAAACAGGGACATATTCTGTTCTTCCTGTGAAGACGGACCCAGAATAAGAACAGGTTGCTTCAGTTTTGTGCCAAGCATCTGCAATTTTGAAAATTACAGAATACATTAACATCTGGGGGAACTTGTTTTGGTCTGTCCACTGACAGGAGACAAACTATTACTTTTACTTCAGCTGGCTTCTTCCTTCTTCAATTCTAATTCCAAACAACTCTCATCCATGTCTTCACAGACTTCAGCCAGGTCCAAAGCTTCCTCTAAGCATTACAGGCAGCAGCAGAAGTGAGATGATAGAAGTAATAAGTCCCTTAGCTCCTCACCCTACTTATTGCCTGGAGGATGCCTTCTTTGTGCTGCTGAACTTTTTAGAGCTTCTTCATGCATAATTCAGTTATTCTTGATGTGACAATAGTGTCCTCCAGGAACACCCTCTCACCAACTGGACAATTTTCACTTATTCCATGCATCAAAACACTATGTTGACTTTAAACTCAAACCTAGGTTACTGGAAACTAGAGAGAAAATGCTATGGAAGAAGAGAGAACTCTTTTACCACCCTTCCTAAAATCATGTTTCAGCAGCTATTGTATCACATAACTTAGGAACTTACTAAAGGAATTTTCAACACCCACCTTTTCTTAGAGGCATCTTTTGACTGATTATTGCAGTGCAGCACCTTTACTGACACCTACCATCCTGCACCCTGGAATCCTGTATTATTTGGAAAAATAACGTTGTTTTCAATAACAGTTGAACTTTCCTTTTGAGAAGTATTTTGCTTTTCTCTCTTCTAATAATACAGTATTTGTTATCTGATGCTATGAGCTCTTGACCCACGGATAAATTCATAGACCTGTGTAAATTAGTATTCAACAAAGAAATACAGCTGAGCTTACTTTTCTCAGTCCCATAACTTTCATAAGATTAATACACAGACTCCTCAGATTGCCATCTCTGATGTAATATGCCCCAAATAGGAGCATCTTACAGTAGGGAAAAAAAAAAATGTAAGAAATGTTGTATGTATGAGAAACCTAATAGGAGGAGTGCAATATACTGTACAGCCTATCATAGATCGTATGTGAATCAGTTAATACAAAAGGTTTCTCACAAGCTTGAAACATTTGAATATAATTAAGATGAAATTTATGATGCTGTTATAAACAAATCAGCAATAAGTATTTTCAGACTTAAGGAGTTCATTGAATACTGCAGGTGATATTCCATAGGTCACTGTACAATCAATAAGCATACAAAGGTGTAAAATCAATTGGTGAACAGAGTTTTAGATTAAGTAAGACTAACACAGTAGAAAGATAATAAGTGGAAAATGCTTACCAATGTTGTAGTCTCACAATATCCTCCATGAGGATCTCCAGGAAGAGATCCTTCCTCAGTGGCAGTCAGCACTTAAATGGGGTCTAGGAGAGGTGGAGCCAGGCTCCTCTCCTTCTGGTAGCACAGGTGAATTACAGTCACCTGTGCTCCCATGGCTGACTCATTGCTTGCCTCAGGTGGTCAATCAGAGGTTCAGGCTGTGATTCAGCAGTTCCCATATAGTCACTCTAAAAGTAATGCTTCCTATTTATCTCCATGGAAAATAAAATGGACACGTGGAGTACAATAACACTATTTAATAGAGCAAATTCTAAGTTACAAAGCACTATTTTTCATCACACTCACCACCATTAGGTACGCATTTCCACCAGTAATGAACAAGAGCCTGGATGCCACACTCATAACAATCTGCACAAGTGGACATGACCTACTGTCACTGTTGCCACTGCTGAAATGCACCACCCACCACCTCACTGTGCTACATCCACTGTTTGGTCTCCATTAACAAGTGTTGGTGAAAATAGGTGCTATTTTTTTTTGCACGTGGAGGAATTCAATTGCTCATACCTCGATTGTAATCACACCTTTGCTTCACAAGTACTTACACGGTATTTGTCAGACTGCTCCTCTGCTGACATCTGTTGCGTGGCAACAAAATGTAATGAAATACTGGTGGGAAGATTCAACCTGTACTGCCATACCACCAACATCCATCTCTGACATCACAGACCAAGAGAATAAAATAGGAGGCATTACTTCTGGAGCAGCCATTGTAGAAGTACTAGTTTCAGTGTTCACTGTTTTTTTTTGTTTTTTGTTTTTTGTTTTTGTTTTTGTTTTTTTTGTAGGAACTAATTAACTAATGCTTATTTTTATTTACATTTAATACTATCTGATCTATAAATATATTCCAATCTTGAAAGCACAGATGTAAACAACAATTTGAGAAGTTGGTTCCTTTCCTATAGATTTCCCTAAAACTTAGGAGTCTGCTTTTCCATTTTTTCCTGCAGAAATGTTATCACTGGATAAATGATCCTTGAGGTCCCTTCCAACCCTGACCATTCTGTGATTCTGTGAAATTTAGTATGAAGTTTGAAAAGTAAACTCCAACAATTTAAAGGCAGTATATAGCATTAGATGTACGAAAGAATGTAATTCAGTATAACTTCTTCGGAATTATATGCAGTATATTATGCTTTCACTGCAAAACTCTAGTGAAACAAACATGGTCCCAAACAGGGTAGAAAAACTACTGCTACAATAACACAACAGATCTGACAGTATTTCTGTTAATTAGTATCAGAGGTATTGCTTAACACAGCAATAATTATGAAGTTACTATGGTGCCAGTCACTGAACTGCAATAAAAATAGGACGTAACTACTAAGGCCTTCTTGAGTCTGATGGAGAAAATTCTACTTTACAATGCTTTAGGTGGAATTCAGATAGGACCCCAATCAATACTCCTTGTTCCTTCTTCTGACCTACCCTTCTCCCGCACAAACATTTTTGCTTTGTGAGCTGAATGCTTTCCCTGTGACCTCCTCAGATTCAGCCACAAAAGAGATGCTTGGTATCCCTACTTTACACTTTAATATGCAGTCCCCTTCCCAGATCCTTGCAAAACCAAGGTATGTATAGAGTAGCTTTCTTTGATTTGTCTTTCAGTGTACTGTCAGAATTTCATCTTCAAAGTCTGCCAAACACATGGAAATACATTATTTTGATTATAACTGAGGAATAACCCACTAGAAATCAAGGTGACATCAAACTAGGGAATTGAAGAAGATTAAAAAATGCATAGTGAAAGTGAAGCTAAATTAAGATTATTTAAAGCATTTTCAATTCTATGCAATAATGAGGTATTGCTACATACCTTCTTCTTTACAATTTAATACAATTATTGTGCAGGTAAGTAAAAATGTGGAATCAAGATGATAGGGACTGGAACTGCAGTGCTTAAAGAATCCAGCCAGGAGAACTTAGTGCAGCTGCCCTTCATCTAAATTTTTTTTTATTTTTAGTGAGATTTTTTCTGTTATGATTAAGACCAGTAAGTATAGTGAAACAAATGAACCTTTAATAAGGGAAAAACCTAACTAAAAAGCAAAAATGAGTGGAAAGTGAGGCAATGTTAGAAAGGACAAGCATTAAGAGACTTGTTTTTGCGTAGACCTAAATTTTCCCAGTCTGCCTATTAATCCTAAAGGAAAAATATCTCACATGTGAGATTTGTAAACAGGCTAAATGTGACCCAGATTAAGGGCAAAAGCAAGCGCATGGCCTGCACTGCCACACATAATAAGTTGAGTTAAAAAATGCTGCTCAGAGATTAACTCAGCTGCATTAGAAGGAAAAGAAAGATGGAGTTGATATGAAAAATAGGAATTCAAACTCAAGGCCTTATGTTTTAGTCACAATGTGAAGCAACAGTAAACTCATATTATTATTTGTTGGGACTGAAAAGTCATGAGAAAGATTTTCCACTGTGACTGGAGGCAGAAGCACTAGAAAATTCCTGAGAAAGCTTCTTGTGCCCAAACATGAAAAGCCCAAGAGACTTGCCTTGCTGAATGAGCATTATAAATAATGAGTTTGTATCAAAGAAACAGTGATGAATTCTGAGATTTGCTGCTTGTCATTCATCTTTAGCCCATTAAAGAGCTATAGGAGCAGAAGAACCTGTTTAGGGTTTGCCACCATTCCTATATCAGATGTTACATTCACGCTCTATATTTGAAGTTTTTATTTGCATTATGTACAAAGATTATCTAATATAGACACTGATCTAAAAGCATAATTGCTTATGGTAGTAAACAGACAAATAAGAAGAGCAAGAAGAACATTAAGTAAGAAGGGGGGAAATCTGGATCACGTGCTAGATTCAGTCTAGAACTTGAATTTATCAATGACTATAGGAAGGTTTCATCCTGTCTGCTCTCTATGCTTTCTCCTCACTAATCTTTTCCCCTGTTCCCACCAGAAGTATTAGTTTCTAGGTGCTCTTTCTTAGGAAGCCATGATTCTTCACCAGGTTTACCACACATTGTAGAACAACTGAAGGGACATCTCCCCAGTGGCTTATCATAGAATGGCTTGGGTCGCAGGGGCCTTTAAGATCATCTAGTTCCAACCCCCCGATATAGGCAGGGGCACCTTCCTCTAGACCAGGTTGCTCAAAGACACATCCAGTCTAGCTTTGAATGCTTCTAGGGAGGAGGCATCCACCACCTCACAAGGGAACCTGTTCCAGTGTCACACCACCCTCACAGTAAAGAATTTCATTGTAATACCTAGTCTAAACCTACTCTCTTTCAATTTAAAACTGTTTCCTCTTGTCCTTTGGCTACATGCCCTTACAAAAAATCCCTCCCCAGCTTTCCTGTAGGTCCTCTTCAGGTACTGAAAAGCAGCTATGAAGTGCCCTGAAGCATTTTCCAGGCTGAAGAGCCCCAGTTCTCCTAGCCTGTCCTCATAGGGAGGGTGCTCCAGCTCTCTGATCATCTCTGTGGCCCTCCCCTGGACCTGTTCCAGCAGCTCCACATCCTTCTTACATTGGGGGGCCTCAGAACTGGGTACTCAGGAGGGGTCTCATGAGAGCAGAGAAGTGTTGATCACACTTATCCTTACCACATCGTAAGTGCCTTTTCACTATTGGATCCAGAGTTCTATAGGGAATGGATTTTAGTATTGTTGTGGTTTAATCCAGCAGATAGCTTAAGCACCACACAGGCTTTGGCTCACTTCCCACCCAAGAGAGTGGAAGGAGAGAATTAGAAAATATAGAACCCATGGGTTGAGATGAAATTATTTACTAAGACAGGGGAGATACAATACACTCACTGCCGATTGACCAACACCCTATCAGCACCAGTCTGGGTCCAGGTATACTCCCATTACTCAGCAACAACCAAATGTTGGTGTGCTCTTAACACTGCTTCAACCAAAACCAGGGAAGGTAGAAACGACTTACAGGACAGAAAACAAAGGATGATAGGAAGCAGCGGATGCTCAGGACTCCTATTTCTTGTACACACGTTCAGATGTGTTCTCTTTTACAGACAGCTCCTGGTAGGTTCTCAAAAACCAGAGGTAAGACTTCCAAACCATCTGTTTGCCAACTACAGTGCCTGCTGTTTCAATTTCCCAACAGAGAAATAATGTTGTCTGGTTCTCCCTGACTCACAATCTGTAGTAATGTGGAATTTACAAATCCCCACAGTCTAGGGAGGGGATGCTGCAGTGTGTATTATGACATGTCAGCACAGACAGATTTGGGCTGCCAAGGTTGTTTTTAGCCCGCGTTCAGTTCTGCTGCTGAGTGAGCTTAGATGTAAGGAATGCATTCAGGTAGACAAAAATCTAGCTACAAAGCTGCAAGTGGGACTATGACTTACTGTGCTCTGATCTTTGAATCCGCTCAGATCTTTGAAGAATTCCACGTAGCTGCTTATGGAATGAGTGACTTTTTAATAAATGATAACATTAGCTGCAGCTCAGCAGGAGCTGCAGTCTTCCACAGAGGCAAGGTTCAGCTAAGACCTTGTCTTGGGAATCAGGGGCTCCTTTGAAGCTCTTGTAGACAATGCATCCACATTGCTTTAGGCAACATCTTTCCAGAAGGAACTGTTGGACACAGCAATAACTATACTCAGTGTGTACTCATAATGGCCAAAGACTGGGGTGAATAATTTCTCATCTAAAATGTGTTAAAAATCCAAAAAACTTTTCTAAAAGTAAAATATATCCCATCATCACTACCAAAAACTTCAGACTGTTTGCTGTCTCAGAAAGGGTGTCACATATTTCACTTATGATTGCTCAGCACCTATCACAGTGAGATCCTGCTGCATGACTCACAAAGGATCAGCAGAACAAGCAGACATTTCTTCTTGCACTTCTCTACTTCATTCTCTTATTGCATGATGAACCTTCTGATGGGATGAGGATTTCATCCATAATTATAGTTAGAAAGCATTTGAAAGCATAGTAAGCATGCACATTAAACAATTTATTAATTATTTTGTTTTTCAACATT